TGGGGGCAATATGCTGACTCTCTGTAAACCGCTTAGAGAGGGCTGAAAGCCCTATGAAGCGGTATATAAGTCTACTGCTATTGCTATTGCTATTGAAAGAATCCTTAGATGGGTAATTTCGAAATAAGTAGCCATCAGGCAAAACATCAGCCAATGCCCCAACTCACAAGACCTGACAAACATTTTTACCATATTTTTCCATTCTTTAAATAGAATAACAGACCTGAAAGGGACCTTGGAGGTCATCTAGTCCAATCCCTTGCTTAGCAAAAAACACCAAACCTATATTATTTCAGACAAGTTACTGTCCAGTCTCTTCTTAAAATCATCCAGTGATGGGGCACTGGAAAATAGATTGATTCCCTCATCTTTGTAGTAGCCCCTCCAAGATTGGAACATTCTCTTACACATTTTTTTTTCTTCCTGATGCAAGCAGCATATTTTTCTTAGCTGTTTTCAGCCTTCACTAGTATTTGAGTCTCCATCTTCCCTTAAAGTGGTAATTGCTAAACACTAATGCTGATTCATAAGGAAAAAGCTCAGTTGTTTAGGTTTTACTGTGACTTGTCACTAACTCAACAAATGTCTAGAATGTATAATGAGTCTTTGAGTTAAGTTGGGAAATAGGTTGGCCTGCTTCGTAATTTAATTGACCACTCTGTAATAAATATAACTTGAAGAAGCTTGGCCGTATAAAATCATTTGTGGTGAGAATCCCCTGGAATGTGTTTTGCTGTGAGTCTATTCAATAAATACTCATTAAAGCCCAGAATAACCCTCTAAAATAGTTAATGTCTCTCCCATTCTTTACTCAAACAGAACTTCTTGTAGTGAAGAGGAAGAGAGGAAGGCCCAAAGGATCAACCAAGAAATGTTATGCTGAAGAAGAATCGGCTGAAAACAGGACCTCTGCTCCAAGTGAAGGTGTTCAACCGGGACCTGAAGAAGGAGGAGAACTGGTGGAGGTTCCCGCAGAGAACCTGGAATGCCGGAAGTGCAACCGGAAGTTCTCTAATTCCCGACAGCTACGAAAGCACATCTGTATTCCCGTTAAGAATGAAGACTTGGAAGAGGAAGAGGATTCAGGTGAGCCCAAGTGTGTTACGGTGCATGATTCGAAGATGAGTGAAAAGTAGACACGTAGAAAGCTGCCTTGTTTTTGGAGGTTCGTTTATTTATTAAGGGGATTGATATGACTACCCAACTCAGTCACACTGACTACAAAAGTCTAATAAAGTCCCATTCCCCTGGCAACAAAATCAAATCACCCACTTGATGGGCCTTGTATGGGGTCTCCTTGGCTCAGGGGCAAAACCATATCCTCAGGAATTTTTGAAAAAGTATCAATCCTATTTCTGCAGAGACGATGTGTCAGAATGTGCACAGTGTGACTATTATTTTGAGACAACCCAGAGCAAAAGACAGAACACAGAGGTTTTGTCTTTCAAACAGTGGTTTATCTACAAGGCATATACTGTATATATACATACACATAGTAGGCAAAACCAGGCAATCAATCTTCAATTAAAACACAGAAGCACGCACAGAGAGAGAGAGAAACCGCCCTCACAGGGCCTCTCTTATATAGACAGCATCTTAAAGCGATAACCCTGCTGACTCATTCTCATTGCATCATCTTGGTCTACAGCCTTACAGCAGCTGGTCAACTATTAAATCATCATTACCTTAACATGATGCTCCACAGAAAGAGAGCCACCATGGAGAAGGCACTTCTTCTGGTCCCACTAGATCAGGGGCGTCAAACTCAAGGGCCAGGGACTAGATGCGCCCCATAGGGTGCTTAGATCTGGCCCACAGGGCTGCCCTGGAAACAGTGAAGGGCAGTCCTGAGGGCCTCTGCCAACAAAAACGGAGCTTTGGAGCGAATGATGTCGAGCTGGACATGCCTACCCTGCCACACTCATCCTGCCCCCCCCCCCAAGTTCAAACACAACCCTGAATGCGGGCGACCCTCAATGAAATTAAGTTTGACACCCCTGCACTAGATGGATCTTTTTAGGAGAGGAGACCCATAACATAGCTTCCCTCCCAATCCATTCTGCTGGGTCAGTTAGACATAACTGGGAAAAAGATGATCCTTCAAATAATGTGCCAACCCTGGTTTGGAGCGCCTGGCGAGCCAATAAAGTAAAGTTTTCCCCGTCAGCCGTGTCCAACTCTAGGGCACCTTGCTCATCTCTGTTTCCTGCCCGAGGGAGCCAGCATTGTCTGAAGACATTTTCCATGATCATGTGGCCAGCCTGACTCTAAGCCAAGCTCACAAAATGTTATTAGCCTCCCACCGAAGTGGTACCTATTAATCTACTCACATTTCCATGCTTTCAAACTGCGAGGTGAGCAAGCCAGCTAATACTTTATGCTCTTTCATCAAGCCCTTTGTCAAGAGTTTGTTGCAGAAATCAAATCCAGAAAGCACACACAGGTAACTGATTCAGCAGGATTAATTAACTTCTCTTTATATACGTAATATAACACATGAGACATATAAACAATACCAACAGGTAGTTCTTCCGACGAGGTAGAGAGGAGAAATTGTAAGTAGTTTTAGTTCAGCAGACTGACAAGACCAGACTAGTTTCGTTTCAGAGCTCAGAGCTTAATACAGCTAAGCCACGCCCAGATTTCTTGCTTAAGTTTCTGTTTTCCAAACAAGCCCCATTGGCTGACCTTGTTACCATGTCTCTGCTGGTTCATGAATATTCTGACAACCTTTTAGTTACTAATGACTAACTCAAAGTACACATTAGTAACTAAAGTTTCACAGTACAAATGGCTTGATAATTGTCAGAGCCCTCATTCTCCTCTTTCTCTCTTTTTCTCTTTCTCTCTCTCTCCCTCTCTCTCTCTCTCTTTCTCTCTCTCTCTCTCTGCATGTCCGAGAGTGTGTGCGCATACTGTATGTAACTTTTTACCACTCTTTGTAAAAAAAACTTTACCCTATAAACTGGCCCACGTAGACTCTTATTCCATTTCTGTTACCTGGGAGAGCAAATACATCATTGATAAACCAGCATTCCCTCTGGGTTTGGGTGAAGTATGGCACCCTGATCTGGGTTGATTTCTACAAGAGGCTTTGGAGCATGTTCATGAATTGATGCAATGCAAGTCTCCAGCTGTTTGCAGCTGCCTCTTTGCCCAGGATCACACGGCAGCACGAAGGCAGACATGTGCTGTGTCCCTACCGCTTGCCTGCTCTTACCGCTTTTGGGAAATCAGATCCGAAGCCCTGCACAGCCTTAGTATATGCAGGTAGCCCTCACCCTATGGCCACAATTGAGCCTGACATTTCCGTTGTTAAGTGAGACATTTGTTAAGTGAGTTTTGCCCGATTTTATGGCCTTTCTTGCCACAGTTGTTAAGTGAAAACACTGCAGGGGATGAATTAGTAAACCAGCTGTTAAGTGAATCTATCTTCCCCTTTGACTTGGCTTCTCAGAAGGTCGTAAAAGGTGATCACACGACCTTGGGACACAGCAACGTAAGTATGAACCAGTTGCCAAGCACCTGACTTTTGATCATGTGATCATGGGGATGCTGGAAAGGTCACAACTGTGAAAAAGGGCCGTACGTCACATTTTTCAGGGCCGTCGTAAATTTGAATGGTCGCTCAATGAACTGTTGCAAGTCGAGGACTACAGTACCTATACCGGGTCATTTGGCTTTTTCATTTATGACAGCCAAGCGGCTGTGCCCCTTGTCGCTTCTGAAGGCTTCCTAGGAGTAAAATGTCTAAAGCTTTACTTCTAATTGGGTTTAGTGCCATTGTTTTAAGAATAAATATTCTGTGCATTACTTAAAACTAGGTGTATCTCGTCCTAAGTGCTCGTTAAAAACACAAAAAGTCCGAAGTAGTGATTGGATGGGGAAGCTTTGTTGTTTTGTTTTGTTTTGTTTTGTGTGTGTGTGTGTGTGTGTGTGTGTGGTTTTCTTAGAATAGAATAGAATAGAATAGAATAGAATAGAATAGAATAGAATTCATTATTGGCCAAGTGTGATTGGACACCCAAGGAATTTGTCTTTGATGCATAAGCTCTCAGTATACATAAAAAAGACAAAATACATTCGTCAAGAATCAGAATCAGGAATTCTTTTGTTTTGTTTCAAACAAAGATGGTTAGCATTTTTTCCCCAGCCAAAAATAAGTTTCTCCTTTGCTAAGAGAATCAGCATCTCCGTTCACTAGTAAAACAAAAGGGGGAAACTGCTCCCCTGACAAAAGCCAACACATGATTCCATGTAGGGTGGGAAATTATTCATCTTTTTTTTTTCTTTTCCCCAACCAAACATCCAAAAATGTTTTTGGCAAGGAGACTGGAGGTTGGAAAGAACCGATGTTAAGGGGCCCTTTGGACTCTGTCCATCAGCAAGATAAGCCTCCCAACAGCTGAACAGAACTGGATCGAATTTGGTGTGTGTGGGAGGGTGGGGAAACTGACAAAACAAAGCATGAAAGTGGGCCAGATCTAGCTAGTAATTGTGGAGAAACAAACAAACAGACAAAAGGAAAAAAACAGCCAGACAGGAAAGACATCTCTAAAGCAAAAGGGATCCAGAAGTAGCCTACAAGGTTGTTGAATGCTGAACTCTAAAATCGTCTTTTTTTCCCCCTGTCCAAATAAGTGCCCACCCATTGCACTCATAACACAAGTAGAGCCAAGGTGGCGCAGTGGTTAAATGCAGCACTGCAGGCTACTTCAGCTGACTGCAGTTCTGCAGTTCGGCTGTTCAAATCTCACCGGCTCAAGGTTGACTCAGCCTTCCATCCTTCCGAGGTGGGTAAAATGAGGACCCGGATTGTTGTTGGGGGCGTTGTTGTTGATATGCTGACTCTGTAAACCGCTTAGAGAGGGCTGAAAGCCCTATGAAGCGGTATATAAGTCTAACTGCTATTGCTATTGCTATTGCTATT